ACCTCGAACTCACAGAGATCCGCCTGGCTCTGCCTCCCGAGTGCTGGGATTAAAGGCGTGCGCCACCACCGCCCCTCTTCATTTCTATCAAAAGCAAAGGGAAGGCTTATCTGAAATTTCCAGCTAGGATTTGTGGCAAGGCAATTTGGAAGAAAGCGAGAAAGTGACAGACTCCGGGTTTCATCTCCCACAAAGCCCCAAATCTTAGGTCTTCAATCTAATCTGGACAAGACTCGGAAGAATAAAAAGAAGAGATACTCGCCATCAACCATTGGCATGTCTGAACCCGAAGGGTACCTAGGAAAGACAGGAACAGATAATGACGATGATTAGTGGTGGGCACACAAGCTACATATGAAACAAGATGCAAGTGAACTATCTGGAAGACTTGGCTGGAGCTACAAACAGTTATGAGCGGACATTGTGGAGCGCGTACACACACTTGGTGCACACCTTGTGGAGAAAAGGAAGTACTGACAGGAAGTTATTACATGAGACTGAGTGCACATTTCTGGTGAACCTTATAATTTCTATACATTTGCATAGGATGATGCCATACAAAATGTAAATATAAGAAGTAAGTTGTTTATAAGATGAGTACAAAATTCCTAAGCCCCATGACAGATGTTCAATTCAGGTGCCAGTTTAATAAAAGCACTAAAAATAAAAGCACTAACTGAAGACATGTGTTTCTCCTCACCTGATCTGCAGGCAGCTTAAAACTGTAGAGTTATAGTAGTTAGAAAAAGCAACATTCTTTGGAAATACATTTCAATAAATAAAACAAGTATCCTTACGGCTGAGCTGGAACAATCCTGGAGTCCTAGAATCCTATGCAAATAGCATCAGGCTCACCAGGGTAGTGAGAACACCATGGTTGAGTTGCTAGAAGTATACACACACATGCCTACCTATCCGACTCCTTTCGCTCTGCTGAGGTTATAGGTTGAGTTCTAAATCGCTCAGAAGTTTTCCTACTTTCACCAGGAGAAAGATAGCGTCTTGGTTTCCGAGACCCTCTCTCCCGTTCCGTGGGCAAGCCAATTCCTTCAGCTGACCTCTCAACCCGGGATTGGCTTTTAGGACCACAGGGCAGTGAGGGTAAAACAGGGAGGAGAGAGGGAGGGAGAAAGAGAGAGAGGGGGGGAAGGGAGGGAGGGAGGAAGGGGGAGAGGGAAGGAGAGAAAGAGGGAAGGAGGGAGGGAGGAAGAGAGAGAGGGAGAGAGAGAGAGAAGAGAGGGAGGG